AGATAAACATGTTGATTTTTGGTATTTTCTTTCTTATTTTTAAAATTGATGATTTAGGGTAGTTTTTGCAGATAAACATGATTTCAAAGAAGTATATTTACATAACAAAAACATCTCCTATATAAGTACTACGAAGTTTTGAACTCAGCTATTCATCACTTGAGCAAAGTGAACACCAAACGAAAAAAACATGACCAATCTCTTGTATCTTTTGCATAACAAAAAAAAATATTTTACATAACAAAAACATCTCCTATATAAGTACTACGAAGTTTTGAACTCAGCTATTCATCACTTGAGAGCAACTCCAATGGGGCTGCAAAACTCCAATTTGCAGCCCCATGGAGCTCCAACCGGACTCCAATTTTTGGAGTCCGGCTGCAAAAACCAGGATTCGGCTGCATATTTGGAGTTGGAGCTCCAAATATACAGCCCCCCTCCAAACCACTATTCCCCCTAAAAATTTACAATAATACCCTTCTAACTAACTAATTATTTTTAGATATTCAACTTAAAATCAACATAAGTTTATTTCTACTAATTATTTTTAAATAAAAATTTTACAGTTGGAAATGTTTTGTCGATACCTTTAAAATGAGACTAATATTGAATAATATTAATTGAAATATAAAATTTCAAGAACCAAGTAATTAAAAATAAAAAAGTCATTATTTCATTAGTAAAAAAAGTTACATAGCTTCATTTCCATGTCTTTCCCACAAATGTTCAATCAATGCATTTCGAAGTGCAAAATGAGCTTCTTTGTTTTTCAACCTCTTATGTCGAGCAAGAAACCGTTGGAATCGTTCAGTTTCCGTTATCTCCATATTTTCAGCATTCGGAATTGATTGTGGAGTTGAAATGACAACATCTTCTTGCTCGTCGCGTTCATCTTCGACAATCATATTGTGCATTATAATACAAGCAGTCATGATATCATGCAGAGTTCGTTTATCCCAAAAACGGGCTGGCCCCTTGATGATAGCAAATCGTGATTGGAGAACACCGAATGCCCGCTCAACATCTTTTCGACATGCTTCTTGCATCATTGCAAAATATTGTTTCTTTTTATCATCGGAATTAGAAATGGTTTGAACAAGTGTTGGCCATTTCGGATATATGCCATCGGCCAAATAATAACCGACATCATAATTTTTTCCTTGAATTGTGTAATGAGCAGGAGGAGCAATACCTTGTGATAGATTGTCGAACAAATTAGACGACTGCAATACATTAATATCGTTATTGGATCCTGGTAAGCCAAAGTATGCATGCCATATCCATAGATCATATGATGCTACTGCCTCAAGAATAATGGTTGGACCTCCATGACGACCTGAGTATTGTCCTGCCCATGCTGTTGGACAATTTTTCCATTGCCAATGCATACAGTCTAGACTTCCTAACATTCCTGGAAAACCTCTTTCTTCGCCCTTTTGCAATAACCTTGCAACATCGTCGACATTGGGAGTCCTCAGATATTCATCTCCATATACTTCTACAGTTGCTCTGCAAAATCTCTTTAAACACACAATTGCAGTTGACTCACCGATCCTAACATATTCGTCAGTACTATCTGCTGATGTTCCATACGCCAACATGCGAAATGCCGATGTAACTTTTTGTAAAGTTGATAGCCCAAGTTTGCCGACACCATCCATCTTCTGTACGAAGAAGTTGTCATGATCACGTACCGCCTCAACTATACGAAGGAATAAACTCCTGTGCATCCGGAACCTTCTACGGAATAGGTTTGCACCATATGTAGGGTTATCAGAAAAATAGTCATGGTAAAGTCGAGAATTACCTTCTTCCCTCCCGCGATTGATCACCAAATGACCAGGAACTGAGCCAATACGCTTTGGCCGCTCTGCCTCTTGAGAGAGATAAGTCATTATTTTACTATTAGAGGCATGTACGCGAGCTAAGAGTTCATCTTCCTTCTCCCATTGTGTCATATCTTCCTCCCAATCTTTAATGTACTGAGACCATATTTCGTCGTCAGACCCCCACATTGGATTCCTTTTGTGTTGGAGACTCCCCACATTGGATTCTTTTCAGCATTGGTTTCTCACCCCCACATTGGATTCCTTTCGTGTTGGAGACTCCCCACATTAGATTCTTTTCAGCATTAGCTTCTCACCCCCACATTGGATTCCTTTTGTGTTGGAGACTCCCCACATTGGATTCTTTTCAGCATTGGCTTCTCACCCCCGCATTGGATTCCTTTTGTGTTGGAGACTCCCCACATTGGATTCTTTTCAGCATTGGCTTCTCACCCCCGCATTGGATTCCTTTTGTGTTGGAGACTCCCCACATTGGATTCTTTTCAGCATTGGCTTCTCACCCCCGCATTGGATTCCTTTTGTGTTGGAGACTCCCCACATTGGATTCTCCTGGTGTTGGAGACTCCCCACATCTGATCCCTATATAATACTTGCACAATTTTCATATCTCCACCACAACTCTTCTTATTCTATATTCATAACTCTTTACATTCCTCCTTAGATTATGGCATCTAGTCGCGGAAAATCTTTTTTACAAGAAGAAGACCAAGTTTTATGCGCCACGTGGCTCGAAATTTCTCAAGATCCAGTCATGGGTTCTAATCAAAAGAAGGACAAGCTGTGGGAACGAATTTCTGCTTTATTTCATGAAAGGATTTCCAATATTTGTAATGCTCAAAGGACTCCAAAGTCTCTTTCATGCCGAATGCAATTAATTATGAAGGCCATCAGTAAATTTCGAGGATGTATTCGACAAGTCGAGCGCTTAAATCCAAGCGGTGCTTCTGAGCTTGACATTGTAAGTATTTTGAATAACATAAATCTTGATTATCATCTACTATCATGTTATTAATAAATGTTTCTTCCTCTCTTGTGGTAGATTAAACGTGCTAGGATAATATTTGCAGAAGATCCAGAAGAGAGAAAGGGGTTTCTATTTGATCATGTTTGGTCAATTTTAAAAGATGCAGAGAAATGGGCAAATATAAGTGTCAGATCGCCTGCAACTTCCAAAACTTCAAAGTCCCGCTCATCTCAGGGATCAGATTCAAGTTCTCCTGTCGTCGACTTAAATGACGATAATGAGGAATATACTCATAATGACGAAGATATGATAACAAGTCGACCGACAGGAAGGAAGAAAGAGAAGATGAGGAGGCGACAAGCAACTGAATCCAACCTCGACTTGGAAACTCTCAATAAAAGCAATTAAGAAATTGTCGATATTTAAAAAAAAAGTCATGGAGAACGAGAAAATGATAGAATAACAATGCACCAGATTATGATGTTAAGGGCCGAAAACGAAAAGAAAAAATTAGATATCCAGAGGGAACGCCAGGAAAGTAAAATTATGTTGATTAATCTTGATTCTATTACTGATCCTTCGGAACGCGAGTATTTTCGAATTAAAAAACAAGAGATTTTAAATAGAAACACAACCGGAGGTTCTTCATCTGATATTCCTAATCCTGAATATAGTTATGCAGGAAGTCAATACGGAATACCTGACTACAGAAGCGGTGGATATGGAGGAAATGGCCTGCCCGATTTTTAGTTTTTTTCATGTACTTTATTTTCATGTACTTTCTTTTTCTATGTAATGCCGCTGAATGTAATATATAAAATTTCATCATTCGGAGTAGCTGTGAAGGTTGTTCCAAATATTATGCTATATTTTCTGCTTTTTAAAATTTAAAGGCTTTTATCTATGTCTTATTATCAATTTATTAAAGATAATTAATTTTATTTAAATAATGAGTATATTATATATTATACTTTTAGTATTAATTTATAATATATTTTATATTTTAAATTAATCCATATAATTTTTTAATATTTTATATTTTTTATATTTTCAAATCTATTTAAAGTTTAAATAAAAGAAATCAATTAAAAATGCAAATAGAGCTTCATATAGAGGAGATGGTTGGAGTTACCCCCCTCTAAAAAAGCATATGCCCAAGAATATGCTTTGGGGAGGCTGCATTTTGCAGCCTCCCCATTGGAGTTGCTCTCAGAATCTTCTGCAGATTGGCTATGAACGGAGCCTATTTGAAAGGCTAAGCCTCCTGTATCCCGAAGAACAAAATCTATTTCTGCAGTACGGAATGCATCCGTTCATAAGTTGTTTCCCAAATAAGAAGTTCTTTAAGCAGAAACTCTTAGACAGTCAAACAACTGTGGCTAGGGAAAAGGAGATACCTCTTCTTCCGGAGTGTATATCTGCCGGACACCGCCTACGGTCTCTTCCTCTGCCGAGGTGACATCGCTCCCTCCGAGTGCCGCGTCTGCGTCCAGAACGCCGTGAACGACGTCCTCACCCTTTGCCCTGGATCCAAACAAGCCACGGTGTGGTACGACAACTGTGAGCTCCGATACTCTAACCTCCGCTTCTTCTCCTCACTCGACTACACCGGCAGTGGGATACTAATCAACACCCAGAATGTAATAAAAATTACAACTCCCTTGAAAATAAACACAAGATCCGTTTATCGGCTCTTGCTTGCGTGAGTTCTTTACCGGTGCCGGGGTTTATCCATGGACGACCACGAATCAGATCCGGTTGGCGAAAAATTGGGCAGAGCTTCTACCTCACCAAGGGGGTATTTGCTTAAAGCGCTGAAATCGACCAAGCAAAACCAGTAGCTCTTCTCGAGATTAAGACTAAGCCTAATCTCAAGGAACGGACGTACGGGGTTTCGGATCCTTCGAATGACTCCTCTTCTGTGCTGAAGTTCGCCGGGATCTCGCTGACCTTTGCTGAAATTTCGTGCTCCTTGACTCTTCAATCCAGCAGCACCTCGTCCTCTTGATAAAATTCTAGATCTGCGAAATGGAGGCCTTGGGCTGATATTTTTTTTTGGTCAATGAAAAAATTTGTATTCATTTACCAAGTGAGAAAATTATATACATCAGACAAAGTCAGTTAGACTGAAAAACTCAAATTATGATGTGCGCATTTATAAAACATGCACACATGCACATACACCTGAATTATAATTCTCTGATTCTTTCCCTTATGTGAGCTGGGTAATCTTCATTCATGATCTTTGTAAAGACTGAGAACTTGATTGCAGTGAACAAATCTTCAACCTGCCTATTTTTGCTTTGAAAAATTCTTAGATTTCTTTCTTGCCTGACAAAGTACACTGAAGCAGCGAGGACCATCCGCTTCAAATTTTCCCAGAAACCCTTTCTCTTTAGCCTGAACCTATACCATGTAGGATCTGAAATAGATACACTTGAACACTAGAGGGGGGGGTGAATAGTGTTCTTTTAAAATTATTGCAAAGTAGATAATAAATTGCAAAGAAAAAATGGCAATCTCAGAAATTTGCAAACACAAACACAAGGATTTTATACTGGTTCCACCAAACTGGTGTACATCCAGTCCCCAAGCAAATCCCGCTTGAGAGTTTTCACTATGATTTTGAATAAACTTACAAAATCAAATGCAAACCTGACCAATTTGCAAGTCCCTGCAAATTGCAACACCAATTGACAAACTCCTTGTCAATTTGAACACCAATCTCTAACCCAAGAGACTAACCCTCTCACAACCGAGAGAAAAATTGTTGAAGAAGAACACAATGATCCTATAAGCCTTGAATGTGTAATAATGTGCAGCAGTGGCTTAGGATTCTTTTAATCTCTGTAAAATTGCCTAATTGATTTGTTTTTGATGAAAGTATATAGGCAATTTCAGAAACTCTTCTTTTTCAGAAAATCAGAATGTTTTTCACTTGGAAAATTGCTCAAGAATCAAAGCTTATGGGTATGTATATGTCTCCAATTTTTCTGAACAAATAACCTATATATACCCCTTGAAAAGACAAGTTTTTAAAGTTTGAAAACGTTTAAAAACGGCCAAAAACTGTCAGATATTCAAATTCTGAAAACTGAAAAACTGTCTCTTGTAGTCGACTACTGTAGTCATTAGTCGACTACACTGAGTTCAGACAGACTCTGTGTTTTCGGAAAATGTTCTCAGTAGTCGACTATAATGATAATTAGTCGACTACACTGAGTTCAGACAGAAACTTGAAAATTTATATTTTTCTTCAGTAGTCGACTACTGTAGTCATTAGTCGACTACACTGTAAAAAGACAGAAACTTATGTTTCTGTCAAACATCTCAGTAGTCGACTATAATCTCTATTAGTCGACTATACTGTAAAAAGACAGAAACTTGTATTTGAGTTATATACATGAGTAGTCGACTACTATCCTAATTAGTCGACTATTAAGATCAAATATTCAGAAATAATGAGTTTTTATAATTAAGTTTTAACTACTATTCTAATGGTTAACATAGGGGATTTCTATAGTTAACCAACACACTAAGCCTGTGTTAGTGTGTTCTAAAAATGTGTGTGTGTGCGTGTGTGTGATCAAGGCTTGTACAAATATTCTAAGCAAAGAAAAATTCAAATACATTATCTTTTGTTCTTCATTTTCTTCACTTCAAAATGCCTTGATATTCACTTGCACTTGTACATATTCTGATATTGAAATCTGCATATGAAAGTTAGTGCACACAAAATATAAATTGTTATCATCAAAACATTATCATGGAGAAATGATATTCAACATTCTCCCCCTTTTTGATGATAACAAATAATTTATGCATCATATTAAATTTTAAAACATGTAATACTTACTCCCCCTGCATATATGCAAAGTTTTTAACATTCATAATAAAAAATATAAAACTTAACTATTTCTCCCCCTTTGTTATCAACAAAAAGAAGAAGAACCTAAACATAACATAATTTCGTCAACATGAGTTAACACTTCAAACAAATCATCAAGGTTATGAACATAGTCCATAACTTCACCCATCCATATTGGTAGGCAAAGACTTGCCATAAAGACCACAAGTTCCATAATGTTCATCACCATTATCTGTTTAAAATATATAGCAGTTATATTAACGAACAAAATAGTAGCAAACTTAACACATATAATAGCAAACTTTTCATAATAGCAGGCTTAACACACAGTTATATTGTAGCAAACTTGACATAAAAGCAACATAACCACATAGTTTTAAACATAATAACAACCACATAGTTTTAAACATAAGAACATAATTGTTTTGACCAAAAAACAGAAACAAATTCTAAGGTGCTGGAGGAGGTTGTTGGCCTTGAAAATATGAATTAAGCTTTGAGTCCAAGTCTTCAAACTTTTTGATTAGGTCTTCTTGATTGCTGATGATATATCTGTTTTGTGCATATATAGCTCGTTGACCTGTTTCCAGTTCTAGGATACGTGCACTCAAAGTATTGTATTGCACGTCTGAAAAACATGAAGGTTCAGTAGGAAATGGTGGAGGTTGACTTGAAGAGGCTCCAGCTTGAGTTGAGGTTTGTGGAATATCTTCTTGTTGAAGTTCAGGTTCATTTTGAACAGGTTCATTTTGAGGATTGTGATCTTGGATTTCAAAATTTGTCAATTTCATCCTAGTTAGGGCATTTGAATCAAAAAATTCAATTGAACGGACAACAGATTTTTCAGATTTGAGATCAACATGGAATTTATCAAAGATCTTAGTCAGGAATGCACCATAAGGAAGAAATCCTCTAGGAATGGTCAGAAAATTATCAAAATAAACCTCAGCCCAATTAACTTGAATATTTCCCATAATAGCATATATAGCTTTTGCTAATTCTAGGGAAATGAAATGAAAACTTCCAGTTTTTGGAAATAAGTTATAGGCTAGGATACGAGCAATGAACCTAGGAAATGGACGAAGTTTGTTTGAATTGTTCAAAGGTTTTCCATGTCCTGGAAGAAATATGTGATTGGATAGCAAGTCTGAATCATTCATCCTAACAGAGCTAAGAGAAACTCCTTGATAAGGAATGTTGAATATTTTACCAATTGTTTTAGTAGTTAATTCAATCTCCATTCCTTTAACAAGGGTTTTAATTTTTTCAGAACCACCAATTGTACCCACACGTTCTATATTGGTATAGAACAGTTGCACAAGAAATGGGTATGATGGTTTCTTATTTTCAGCAGAAAATAACTCAAGCAAGCCCACATTTTCAAAATAAGAACTAAAGTTCCATGGGATGAAATCATCGAACTTCACAAATCGTCCTGTAAGAATTTCTAAAGTTGAAAGTCTGTTAAATTCTTCCAATAATTCAGGACTTCTTAAATAAACAATGATTTCATCATTGAGAGAACTGTGAGTTTGCTTAGCTTTCTTAGATCTAAACATGATGAACTAGATAAATAACAAGAGAATGAAAGATCAAGTTTAGAAGTATACCCCAAACAGTAGAAACCCTAGAATAGCCGACTATAGCCTGGATTAGTCGACTAATGAGCCTGATAGCTTGACAAGATTGAAAGACAAATAAAGAAATTGATGAGGAAATTTTAGAAACAAGAAAAGCCCTAACCTGGAATCGGTGGAGTAATCTTTCCAAGTTGATGGTAGTTTTGCAATAATTGCAGCAACTTGAAAAGACTCTGGAATAACTATTTTGAGAACATGAATCTTATTAACCAGAACCTCCAATTCATGAACTTGCTCTAGGACAGACTTGTCATCAACCATTTTATATTCTAGATATTTTGCAATTAAATACTTGTTTGTACCTTCCTCCTCGGCTTTGTATTTAAATTCCAATGCGTTCCAGATCTTCCTTGCCGACTTTATCCTCGTGAAAAGATCATATAATCGGTCCGAAAGTGTGTTCAGAATGTGACCGCGACACAATACTTCATCTTCCTCCCGTTTTGCCTTTTGCTTTTTGATTTCTTCTATTTCCTCCTCAGTAGGTTGTTTGCCGTCTGCACTTGGTTTTGGATCTTCTATGGGCTGCAGATTGGGTTTGAGAATGTAGGAGATCTTCAATGCTGTAAGAAGAAACATCATCTTGTCTTGCCAGCGAGAGAAATTGTTCCTGTCGAATCGGTCCAATTTGACCATGTCTTGATTCATCACCTTGATTGATTCCGACTCCATTGTAGCAGAGATATTTCTTTAAGATTATTTGTTAGTAAAACAATGAAGGAGACAGAAATTCTGAGGCGTGAAACACTTTCCTTAAAGAAATATTTGCCCCCACTTGATATTCAAAGTTGCTTCGGGTTAATGCAAATTTTTTTCCCAGGATACAACAGAAAATAAAAATTCCAGTAAGCAAATCTAGAATTTTCCTTAATTCGTTGTGAAACAAGTTTGTAATATTGCAGATGTTTTTTGGTAGAAAAGATTCAGAAAAAAGTTGTTAGATATCTGAAAACATAAACTATTTATAGATTTGAAAAGGTGTTTCCAACAGTCACAACTTTTCAAAACACCATTTGAAGCAAACAGCCACTTTTCAACAGTCACTTGTCTTTTCATAATTTTTTAAAATTCGAAATAACATTAAAAATAAAATATATTCAATATATAATTATATAAATAATCGCGTCAAAATCGCGCATTATTCGCGCTACCCGCACGCGGGTTTAGAAGCCTACACTTTGATCCATTATTCAAAGCCCAATAAGCATTCAATGCTTTTAAACCTCTAAAAGAATGCTCAAAATTCCGATGTGGGACTATCTTGTTTTTTTACAAACAAATACTAACACTAGACGGAATATTCTAGACGGAATTTTTTCCGGCTAGAATGTATTAAACTAGACGGAAAATTTCCGTCTAGAATATTCTGTCTAGGAAAAAACATTCTAGACGGAAATTTCCGTCTAGAATAGTATTCTAAATGATTGTTTTATTTTTATTATTATTTTTTAAAATTTTCACGTATCCTAGACGGAATATCCTACGGAAATTTCCGTCTAGGATTGACGGTCATTTAACCCAAATTTAGGAAAATTGCTTAGAGGAACCAAAAAAGGTTGGCTCAAGCATCCTCCTCCCCAGCCCCAAAACTCTAACCCCCAAGCCCTAAAATTGAAAAAAAAGTGCAACCAAGCCCCAAACCCACTGCCCAAGAAAACAATTCCCAAATTACCATTCTTCCCCATTTAAAACACAATCTACTTCATCCTCCTAAAATCTGGCCAAAGACCTCCCCCTTCCCCCTCATCCGCATCCTCTCCTCCTCCCCCTTCCCTTTCCTCCCCGACCCCTTCCTCGCCTCCGTCCGCCTCCCCTTCCCCTCCTCCTTCCTCCTCATCCACATCCTCTCCTCCTCCCCCTTCCCCCTCCTCCCCGACCCCCTCGGCTCCGGCTGCCTCCTCCCCTCCTCCCCTACCCTCCGGATAAGAAGAAGCCGAAGGCGAAGAATATGCTGCCGTCGTCGAAGGAAGGCCGGGGGGGGCGCAGTTTATGCAGATCCTGTAGCATTTGCCACGTGGATGAAAGTTCCAAAGAGATGGATAAACTCTAATAATAGAGATTGATTCCGCTGCTCGTGAGAACAAAATGGAATGTTATAAGAAAAAACAAATCAATCAAAAAAATCATCATCGTCATCATCTAAGTGCGTGTTTATATGGATTCTTGGGTAATTCCGTGTTGATTTTGTTTGTTATTGAAGAGAACCCATTATTAGATTTAGTTCTAGGCCTATTGATCAGAAGGAAATTCATTTTGGGTTTTTGCATTAAAATATGTTCGAAAACTGGGGGAAAACTAAGGAAATTGGCCATGCATATCTAAATTTGAAACTACAGGTATCCAAGGGGGAGAGGTGACGACCTCGTGGCAGTAGCGATGGAGCATGTAAGTCAAGATGAGTATTTATTTGTTTCGGGGGGCAAGACGGGGAGGAAGAAGAAGAAGAAGGCGAAGAGCGTGGAGACGTATTCTAGAAGCTGGCCCATGAGGCCTCCCTCCTTGCCCGCTACAACAAGAAGCCCACCATCACCTCCGTCGAGATCCAGACCTCCGTCCGCCTCGTCCTCCCCGACGAGCTCGCCAAGCACGCCTTCTCCGAGGGCACCAAGGCCGTCACTAAGTTCACCAGCTTCTGAACCGTTGGGCCGGGCTTTGGGTCCGGTCGTGTGCTCTGGTGTTGTTTGGGATTCAAGGGTCTGGGTTTCGCTGCTTTTTGGTTGCTTGTTGGAATTTCATTTTGTTTAGAAATAGCAGTAGGTTATTATGGTGGGTAGTAGTTTTTGTAATAAAAAGTCGACTTTTGAAATTAAGTGTCTTGATTAGTATGATATATGTCTACTGGAATTGTCATCTCGTATTTTCTTCTGTGTTGCGGAATTGTTCTTTGGTCTCCGCCGAGTCTTGTTTCATCTTTTCTTGTGCTTGTTTGGAATAACTCTTAAATATTTGGAAGTAGTTCTAGTTTTCTTACGATTTCAGGACAACGTTTCTTTTTTGCTATTGCAATTTATCCTCAAGAGTTCAATCGGAGCTTGGCATGGGCTTTATCCTTATTTTATCTTCTGTGGGTTTAGTGTATGCAGGTGTGGGTGTGGCTAGCGAAGGAAATTTGAGTTTTGAGTTCATTGTTTGTACTGCACATTGCTGTAGATTGGTTCTACGAAGGAAAATGAGATGATGGGTTGGGATTGTAACATCCTGATGTATTTTTGTTTGATGGGTTGAAATCATTCGTAAGGATGATTTTGATCTAATTAGAGTTTAATTTGGGAGTGTTGTTATGTTTCTTAGTTATTCAAGGTTGAATGAGAAAATGGGGTATTTTTTGGAACATATATGTATCACAGTTAACCGTAAATGTGATAAATAAACATATAATGTGATATTTCAATGTTATATGTGACAATTCAATCCTACATGTGGCAGTTCTATCTTATATGTGATATGTAGATCTGATTTGTGACTTTTGGGTGTTACATGTGACACTGAGACCGCATATGTGACGTTAACGTATTATATGTGAACGTTATACGTGTACTTCGTATCAAGCACCTATTACGGCTTCTCGGATTAATTTTAATGACTTCGGATCAAGCACCTGTTACGACTTCGATCTCATCTTCCAGAACCACTCGGTGTCGGTGGCCTCCTCATCGGGGTCATCGGATCCGTCGTCGACAGGGCCGGTGATGAGGGAGTTGAATTACATGGGATTTTCTAGATTTATAAATGTTAACAATAACAATGGAGCGACGCCTTTGCATCTAGCGGCGAGGCAAAGATGATTTTTATTTGTTTTAAATCTGTTTGCTTTAAATTTGAGTTTTGAGTTCATTGTCTGTACTGCATATTGCTATAGATTGGTTCTACGAAGGAAATAGGATGATGGGTTGAGATTATAGCTTAGTTATTCAATGTTAAATGAGATGTTTGGTAACTTTCACTTGCAGTCTTTCTAATGTAAGCAACACTCAATGTTATATGTAAATGAAAAAAGAAACATTGTTTGTGGTAAATGAAAAAAGAAATCAAGCGTCCATTTCAATGTTATATGTGACAATTCAATCTTACACGTGACAGTTCTACCTTATATTTGATATTTAGATCTGATTTGTGATATTTGGGTGTTGTATGTGATAGTTGGGTGTTGCTTGTAATATTTGTTGTTTATACGTGACATTTGGTTGTTTTATGTGATATTTAGGTGTTGCCTATGACATTTATTGTTTACACGTGACATTTGGGTGTTGTATGTGATATTTGAGTGTTGCTTGTGATATTTGTTGTTTATACGTGACATTTGGGTGTTGTATGTGATATTTGGGTGTTGCTTGTGACATTTGTTGTTTATACGTGACGTTTGAGTGTTGTATGTGATATTTGGGTGTTGTATGTGATATTTGGGTGTTGCTTACATTAGAAAGACTGCAAATGAAAGTTACCAAACATCTCATTTAACATTGAATAACTAAGCTATAATCTCAACGCATCAAATATCACATACAACACCCAAATATCTATATAAATAGGAAGCCCTCAATATGCTGAGTGTAATATTAATTATGACTTGAAGCATTGAAAGTTCTCTGCGGTTCCGATTGTAAATAAACATATAAATAGGAAATTAGTTATTATCTATATAAACAATTTATGTATCGCGTTTCTTTTTGTTAATAGAGATTATTAGACCTGTTTGCCGATGCACTGACATCCATTGTAAATAATTTATGTAAAAGTTTGTAAACAATTTATGTATTATTTGAATATAATTGGATTTGATATTGGAATATAATTAGATTATGATGAATATTCATATAATTTGTTGTTGTTCAATATTGTGTACATGCATTGAAAGTGGATTCTGCAAAAAAAATAAATACTGTAGCACAGTATCATAGACGGGAATTCCGTCCAGGATGCTCAAATTCCGTCTAGAATATTTTTTTTGGCAAAAAAAATAAAAAACATCAATTTCAGTCTAGAATGAGTATTCTAGACGGAATTTTCATCTAGAATACTCATTCTAGACGAAAATTTTTTCTGTCTAGAATGAATTATTCTAGACGGAAATTCCGTCTAGAATAATCCGTCTAGGATGTATTCTAGACGGTTTTTAATTCTGTCTAGAATATTCCGTCTAAGATATATTCTAGACGGAATTTCCGTCTAGAATACGACATCCTAGATGGAAACATCCTAGACGGGTATTCTAGACGGAATTCCGTCTAGGATACGCATCCTAGACGGAATTTTGTCTATCCTAGACGGAATTTTCCGTCTAGGATGGCTAATTTTTCAGCAGTGATTATTGTGTCCACGTGCAAAATACGTGCAATACTAGTCATACTCCCTTTAAAAGTATAAGTTCGGAAAAATCTTTTGGTAGACAAAAATATCCCTATAAAGTTTGAACTATCCTATCACTAATCAAATTTGAATTTTTAATACTAATCCATCATTAGACTGGGAAATTAATAAATTCCTAGTAGATATACATAGTATAAAGATAAGGAAATAAATTGTATTTAGGTTATATTAGAATTAAGAAATTTAATTACATTCTCATCCTAATCTATACACTAATATTAACCCACAATTATCTTTACCAATTATTGAATACCTCAATTTCAGATAAATAATTCTCCCCCACCACCTCTAAAAAGAGCTGTCTC